TTTGCTTATATATTAAATATAAGAAATCCCAAGAAAAAACTTTATCTTTATCTCCAATTCAACCTAATGAACAAAAACCAGACAAACCATTTTGGTCAACCGCAACCTCAGCCAATGCCGGACCTTATTATCAAGTTTACGAACAGATATCTTCGTCATCCTCACACCAAAATACTTTAACGCGTACGCCATTAATTGTTTGTCCGTATCATCAAGATTATTCGACATTATCATTGATTCAACAGTTACACAACAAATCAAGTTTCTTGAAAACCATTTCAGTTGAACATGAGCGGTTGAAAAAGTTGATCTACACATCAAATCTTCGATCGAATCCTTATAATCGCCGTCAATCAATGGAATATTTCTATGATTTACTTGGCATGACACCATTTTCTGAAGCTTTCGTTGATCAATTATTAATGAAAAATGATCCCGATCTGTACAAATACTATATTTATATATTTCGTTATTCACCAATAAACTTCCAACGATTTCCTCCAAAACGTGACGTTAACTTCTTGAAATTTATTTCCACATATTTTCTTCAATCGAAGAGTAACTTAATCGAGATATTTCATCTATTTGATACATTACTTGACAATTTAATTGACTTTCTCGATTCTGCTCCTTGTGATCAAATGCTGGAATGTTCAAGTAAATCATTTTCCTACGCAACATTATTAATGAATCCAACAATCGATTATCATCGCTATGAATTATCAATAAATTATGAAAATCAAATCCAGTTCCATCTATCTGTTTTGGATTGTGATACCATTGATCAAGTAAAAAAGAAAATTCTCCATTATTTGAATTCGTCTGAATCGATCGAATTGGTTCTTCCATCATCGAATGTTTGTTTATGCTCGCAAGAAATACCTCAAGTGAAACACTATCCAATTAATTCGACAATTTTTTGCCGAAAACGATCAACATGGAATCAATTTTCGGATAAATCAAACTCGTATGGTTATCATTTATGCAAAGAAAATCAATCAATTCAAGACGAACATTTTCTTCTTGTACGATTAAAAGAAAATAAAAATGAATTTAATGAAAGATTTCTACGAAATTTTTACCAAAATCTTCTCGGTGGTATCAAATATCTTTCCATTGATTCATTTGATGATTACATTNGCAGATTATCTGTAGCATTCACCGAACTATTATAGGCGTAGAGATCACGTGGATTGTTGTCTTTGAGCACTCAGACGGTCTTCGCTACCGACCCGCTGCAATTTTTCACATCTCGCAATCCTATTGGTCAGCTTCGCAGGTTGCTTGTAGCATGCACAGGACTCACAAGCACAGGTCGAACATGTGGATTGTTGTCTTTGAGCGCTCAGACGGCCTTCGGCCGCCTTCGCTATTAATTTTCTCAATTTTGGAAATCTCGCATTCCTATTGGTCCGTTTGATATATTGCCTGTAGCAAACGTCTGGTTCATTCGTTCTCGGAACAAAGTAGATGTCGACCTTCCTCTGGGTCTCAGGAAGCATTGTGGAAAGTTTCACGCCGATAGCTGCTACAGGGACTGAATGCATAGCGAACAGACAGACAAACTTTCTTCTTTATATATATAGATAGAAGATAGAAGATAGATAGAAGATAGATCTATTTATATTCGAACTGAGATTAGTCTATCAGTTGTCCATTTATAATATAAGTCGAATTAGGCAACTCATGTAGCGCAGATACCCGGTGAAAATATCGAAATATCTACAACAAAAGCATCACGCGTTAAACACTGTAGAACATAGAAATGACAATATACTTCAAATTTCTCTCACCATCTCTTTATGTAAATTCTCAACTTCAGACGGCTGCCTATTGGTCCCATTTTTGTTCTTTCATCCGATACCCTTTGCTCTCATCCTCAAATATACGATCATCCACTTTTCACCTTAAAGCTTATTTTTAACTTCAGACACTTTTTATAAGTCTTACTATGATTCTCATCTTATCTTGATCGACGCATTGTGCCTTTCCCATACACACCTTCACAAAATTATATGATATTACATTGGTTATAAAATTCATTCTATTGGCTAAAATCTCTGCATTGCTGAAGATACCGTTTCACTCATACGGCTATTCACTGTAAGAATAAAATGGCTACAACCTTATTTAGAGTTATAGAAGAATTAGCATTGGACGTGATCATTCTGAGAAAAGCAATTAGAATTCTGAAAATGTTAATAGAGTAAGTCTCTTTGTTTCATTCTCAAAAAGCTTACTCCATGTGCAATACAAATTAAAAGCGGCTATGGCGACAATCCTATACATAGCAACATTCAAATGATAACAAGAATCCAAATTAATTCTCTTCATTATATTTCACCATACATCAACATCAATCAGGCTTTTAGAATCGAGATAAGAAAAACATTCGTGTCGGATCATTCACAGTTAGCTTCAAAGTCGAGTGTTCCAGTTGAAACACGAACTCAGCGATTGGCGAAGAAGAAAGGTCAAAAACATAGATTTTCCCGAACAGCATCCTTAAAGTTCGACAACCATAGAAAAGAATTTTAAAAGTTCACATTTAAAGAATGTTCATCAAGATATTTTTTAATGGACGATAATCTAATTCAAGTACCAGTTTCATGACTTACATCGACGATCCGTATAGTCCTATATATTACGTTGAAACTTTGGACGAAGAAACACTTTAAAGAACTACTCATACAGTAATGCAACGTAAAAAAGAAATCTATAATCCAAAATACATATGTAAACATTTTTAGATGGGCAAGAATAAAAATTACCCGGTCAAAATAAATTATATTGCCACCTTTCTTTTCTAGGGCTCAGAAGCCGCAGTACAATTTTCTTAAAATGGATAATTTAATCTACCAAGAAATAAAATTTTGTAAAGATCAAAGTAAAAAGTGCCTAGAAACGCATTTTGTTTCAAACAAGCTTCTCCTATGGTAGTATTTTTATCGAAAGGTATCAACAATTGCAACGGCTTTTTATGGTATCCATGACTTTACTCCTATCGATGTGATTCAGTGAAATACAAGAATTCATAATACGCTTTCTCGTCTCGAAGAAATAGACGACATCTAAATTAATTTATGTCATCTATGCCAACATCAAAGCTAACCAACATACAATACAAAATTATAAAATGATATCTTTTATCACTACCACGTAAAGATAACGGATAGTATAAGCGAACACTACCAATATTTATACTAATGACATGATACGCAAAAGAACAACACAAAATTATAATTGAAAACAACACGCCGCAAATGAGCTTTATTTTGAGATATTATTTTATATACATGTTTACGCGAGTGTATTTTCCAAAAATAAAAAATAAAAAACATTCCTCTATTGATAAAAATCTGTTTAAATTAGCTGTAATGAAGATTTTCATCTGAGCTTGATAATATACAAGAAATCTGACGTAAGATACCTTTGGGCAGGATTCGACATTTTTTCGAGCTGATTCGTTTCCGCGTTGGTTCCAATCGAACCAACGCTGGTTCCGAGTACAACTTGAGGAACTCTATCGGTTCCAATCATAAAAAATTTTTCATCCCACCCACACCCACTTGATTGAGCTATAAAGTAGGAAAGCGCGCACAAGAGTGAATCAATGAAAATGATAGTTCAGAAAGAAGTGATTGAAACACAGTAGTATGCTACAACAGCGACAGCGCATATCGTTGTATCGAAAGAAAAACATAGGTCGCCCACTATTTCGAAGAACCCAAGAGGATTGTCTGTGTAATCGCTCGCATACCAAGTATATCGGATCATCGGACGAAACACCTTGGCAGATAATTGATTGTGAGTTAGAAACATAAGACGGATGATGTTATTTCATTCGCTCATGTTAATGTCAACTTGATCAAAAGGCACGCGATCGTTGAATCGATGAGTAATCACTTTCATCTGCTTGTTGAAGAAGACATCCTGTGGTCGAATTTGATCTTTCGTTTTCTTTGGTATTTCAAGCCTTGTTCACCCTGGAATATGCTCGCATAAACCCTTTTCAAATGTCTGACCACGCGAACAGTGCGAGATGAGCAGGAATTTTTACGTTTTTCCAATGATGAGAGGAGTAAATGATCGCATCAGTACTCGACGAAAGATGTTGCGGACTTTCCAGAGCTACTGCATGTTATCCACGCATGCGACGCTTTTAGAGTCCGCCGGGATCGCACTGATAATAATCGGGATCAGAACATAAAAATGCCGATCACGCCGGACTCTATACGCCACCATGGACGATGAAAAGATAATCGTTTGCTTTCATTAATCTTTTCTACTATATCACGAGATCAAGTGTGATATGAAGAGTTACGGGTCGTCTGTGATCCGATGAACAGCTCATAGAGGTGATACTGATGAGATATAACCTAGCACTAAATCCAGAATAGATTGGAAGAGCGATGCGCAAAGCTTTGAAATATTTTCACTCGAACACTGTACTAATATCTGAAAACGATCATTTTTCCATTCGGTCCCTTTTCGTATACACCTTAAGAATTCGATACCTCGGCAAAAACGGCGCAAGCGCACAAAACCTTTTTGGAGGTTTTCATACCTTATTGAAGTCTACTTGTCGGCAAAAGATGGGACCTAAAGGCCTTGAACACATGGGGAACCTCCCTTGTTAGCCATCCCATGTCAGTACATATGGGTGGTGAGCTCTTTTATTTTGCTGGCACGGCCGCTGTCGATGTTACTCATGCTGATCAAGTGATGGCGTTGAGTCATGAATAAGATGTCGCTACTTTATAATATACGAATTAAATTCATTTTTTATCTGAAACGAATTCTGAAGAATCCATTTTGCTTTTACGATCATTTTCTGGCTTCTCATTCTTTCTTCAAAATTCGAGTTTCGCTGCCAGTTGATAACCATTTAGGAACAATTACATTTTAAGCTTGTTGTCATGTAATGTATAAAGCATAGTATGACTCAGCGAAAAACAAATATATTCTTTTTAGGTTTTCGACAGTGATTTTGTTTTGCAATGGAAAGTGAGGTGCTCGACTTTGCTAAACTTTTCGAATTATATTCTTGGAAAGAAATCAAAAATTGTCCTGGACGATACGTATTGAGTAAAGCTGATAATCGACGTCTTTGTTTTATTCCGCCAAAGGAATTGCTAGATAATCAAATACTGATACAAATATTTACAAGTGAAATATGTCGAGATGCAATACACATTGGCAAATTCACTGATGGTGGTTTATTATCCTACGGAAAATCTGATGGTACATATGTTCATACTTTGAATAATTCGTCTGGCTTGACACGAAAAATGAACCACTTGAACATACATTTCGATAACGAAACTATACGTTGATTTTTAAAAAATACTTTCATTGCACATGTCTCTGTTATGAACTTAAATAACCTGTAACATGGGAGTATAATTTTATATCTTTGCGTGCTATTTGCACTTTTAGGAAATTACATCATGTTATTTCGCAACTTTCGCACAAGTACTATCGGGTACTCTTTACGTTAATCTTGAGTGCAGTGAACATTATGGGGTTCCAATGATTCATTCTGACTCCGTGATGATAACCGAAACTCTTTCATCGGTCTTTCACAAAATCCAGCTGCAAACGGTCCTGATCCTCATCCATTTTATATACCATGTTCATTGTCACAATTAGAAACTTAACGTAACCTGGCTGTATTAGTTGATCTCACCAGCCGATAGAAAGAACGTATTTCTGATTTGGGACCGAAATTCGTCAACGAATAATAAAAATCAATGACATCACAGATATGGTACGATATTTTGTCTACATGTTTCATCATATAGATGAAGCGACTATGGCAAGAAGTGTCATTCTTACGAAATTACTTTAATAACAAAAAAAACTTTTTTTTGGTGTATATGAAAGTAAATAATATTTCTAACTATAAAATATCGGAATATTTTCCCAGTCGAAACAATTTTCAAACAATCATGATTCAAAAATGGTATGACGTCTTGCAAAGTTCCTCCCCATGGAACTTTTATAGAATTTCCTTCGATCTTCTCATTATCGCAAATCCATGGAATTTAATTCAATGGTTTCTTCTAACAACCATTACCATGGCACTTACAACATATTTTAATGTGTCATTTTTCTCAACAATTACATTAGATGTTACTCAAGGTTTGAAGTATCTTTTGATGTTAATCATAACCCAGACGGCTTCATCGTATTGTTCACTTCGACTACGTTCAGTGAAGAAAACATTTCTTCTTGATTTTCTCGAACAATTTCTAACAAAGATAAATCAACGAATTCTCAGCGCGAACTGGATTCAAATCAAATTATCCGATCAAGTTGAAATTCGGCGAAAGATTGAAGAAGCATGCTGTTCTGTTTTAAATCTAGTCGAGGATCTGATCGACAAGTTTCAGGAAGTTTCTAAATTTCTCGTGACGATTCTTACAATCTTTTATATTTGCCCATTAGCAACGATTATAATTGGTATTATTTACATGTGTTTCTATCGATTTTATTTGAGCAAGCAAAGTGATAGATTACTGAATACGAAACTGAAAATCATTGAAAGAAACGAGAAATTAAATTCAAAATATGCGCGAGCCAATGCAAATATGTTCGAATATGTTATTCATCACGAGAAAAACCACATCATTCGGGTTACAAATGAATTAAAAGTTGATATCGAACGAGCATGGTTTGATCTCGATCATCTTTACGATTATTTATCATTGAAAGAAGATATTCTTGGTAAACTATGCACATTCGTCACCATTACTATATATTATTCTTTAAATGGTGTAACAACTTTTATTCTTCCATTATATCATTATCTATCAACGTTGACAGATAATGTTCATAGTTTGTTCACTTCATATATTCGTTGGTTAAGATGGAAAAAAGATTATGATGTTATTCAGCCAATCCTTGAAGAGCATCATGAACGAAGCAATGTCGAACAAGTCGATTTGCAGTCTCAATTTCAAATTTGTGATCTGTCATTCCATTATAGTGGAACAAGGCAAACATTTCATTTACAACTTCCTAATTCACTAACATTTAATATGGGAGAAACAATATTAGTCACAGGAAAAAGTGGAGCTGGTAAAGTTGTCTTTCGTCAATATCATTCAATTTCATATTCAAAATTTAGGTAAATCAACGTTTTATGATATTCTTAATGGTTCGATACCGATGAGTGATTATTCAGCTACAGTCTGTATCGATCATCCCGAACACCCGGGAACGTTACATTCGATCGAAAAATCCCGAACGATGGTTTTACAAGATAGTAACATGGACTATCGATCAACTATCTACAGTATGGTAACAAATATCGACGAAGATGATGTGAATCAAGAACGTACACCTGAACTCGACTCACTTGTATGGGATTTACTACATCTGGTTCAAATTGACGATTTCGTACGAGATGAACTCGACAGCGATCTAAATCAAGAAATGGAAAATAAACTTAGTGGCGGTCAAAAGACACGATTGTTATTAGCACGAGCCTTGTATCGCGCGTATCATCGTCATTCGACATTACTTGTTCTTGATGAACCTGACAAAGGTTTGCCATCCGAAACAACAGTAACAATCATAGAGAATATTATCAAATGGTACCGACCAAAAGGTATCCTCTTCCTTACTTTGCACACTGAACAAGCACATGCACTTGATTTCGATCAAATTCTGCATGTTGAACAAGGTGTGATTACCAAAGTCAAGTAAAATATTAGAATACATTTCGTAGTAAATAATACATTTTATGTAAACTTCGATTGTCACAAATAAATAAGTTCAATTGTTTGTTACAACTAATGATAATAAATGGGCGACAAAATTTCTCTCCTAGGTAACGAGTACATCATTTGTTGGATTTGGGACTCTACATCGTAGTCGTTTTTCATTCAGAAAGCATAAAAAATTCATTCGTAATGAGGAATTGCCAGTGTACCATAATTATCGTACACAGTGACGCAGGCAGGGGGGGGGGGGGTTCGACGGGACAGCCCCCCCCCCCCCCCCCCCCTTCCGAAAAAAATTGTTTTGTAAATTTTTAAGCTAATCTTTTAGTATTAAGAAATATTCTTCAAAAAATCGCTATGCAAATCTCAAGCTTAATCCCGTCCTATATTTCTGATATTCAATCTTCTGATGTTTCTCCATTGTTTCATCATTACCAAGATGATTTACAAGCTAATGATACGAACATACACAAGGCGGAATTTGACACATGGAGATTTTCTATTCTTCGGTTGAAAGAAAATGAACGACCAAATAAAATAATCGAAACATTAGAATTTATACAATCTATTAAGTTTTTTTATCCGAATATCTATATTTTATTACAAATTTATGCACTTATTCCAGTCTCGGTGGCTAGTGCAGAACGATCATTTTCAGTCCTGAAATTGATCAAAACAAAGCTACGCAATCGAACTGATGATGAACGGCTCAGTAATTTGGCAGTTATAAATATTCATAAAGGCATTGCTCAAGAATTAAATATAGAAAATGTGATTGACGAATATGCCAAATCAAAACGCAAATTAAATTTCAGNTTTTATGCGAATATCTATATTTTATTACAAATTTATGCACTTATTCCAGTCTCGGTGGCTAGTGCAGAACGATCATTTTCAGTCCTGAAATTGATCAAAACAAAGCTACGCAATCGAACAGATGATGAACGGCTCAGTAATTTGGCAGTTATAAATATTCATAAAGGCATTGCTCAAGAATTAAATATAGAAAATGTGATTGACGAATATGCCAAATCAAAACGCAAATTAAATTTCAGCAATCAAGATAAATAAGTATCGTAGTTATTATGTTTTCGGTTTCCTTTTGTAAAAATTATATTTAATTATAAATGAATGTGAATATTAATAGATAGTACAGCACTCATTAAGATGAAAAATAGACCTGTTAAAAAATCGATAGTTACAGAGTTGATCCCGCCCTTCCAAAAAATCCTGGCTGCGTGACTGATCGTACATCAATCAATCCGTTCTTTTTCAATTATATTAGCTTTGAATTAGATGCAGCTGTTGTCATGGATTATCATGCTCGTCGTACACGTGATCGATTGGAATTTACATCATCGTTCAAAAATAAACTCATATTTATAAATGAAAGTCGCAAATATTTTAATGAATTTGCTTTTGGAATCGACAGAGTTCGTCGAGATCTACTCGGAAACGATGTGTTCTTAATTGGAAACCCCTTTGTCGCGAATCGTAGTTGAAAAAAGTCGAATCTTATTCTAAGATATCCTACGTACATATTCATTGGTTTAACTATTCCCAAGAAATCTGTCTTTACCGACATCATTATTGAATTCAACAATTGATCATCATTCCACTCTATAACGTTTTAATGTACCTCAATTCATGCTTTCTATCAATAGATATTTACTATTGTTTATAATAGACTACATTGTTGAAGTATCATTTTGAATAAGTTCAACAATTCTTCGTTGTAAAACACCAGATATAGATTAGAATAGAATCAATGAATATAGAAATAAATTGAACGAAGAAATTTTCTGAAAATATTCTCTGTGGTATCAAGTATCTTTCTATAGATTCATTTCCCAGACACATATTCAACTCATTAGCAATTTTATTCGCCACGTGAACAATATCAACTTGTTCGATAATTCAATCATGTTTGAATGTTATTGTCGATACTTTCGAATTTAGTTTTTGAGTCAATCAACAGAAAATGTCATTCAGCCAACCTTATGAATTATTTTCTTATTCAAACGCGTACATTTCAATTATCGGTCCCACTTTTGAGAAGCTCTTCGCTATCATCATCAATGAGTGTTCGATCACAGATGCTTACAGAAGAAACAACTACTGAAAGTGATTTCAAACTTCACTGATTTTCAGTGAAACAGTATGTACGTAGAGTTTAAAATGTGATATTGAAATTTTTTTTTCTTCATTTAGGTAAATCGACATATTGGAGAAAATCGCATAAGCGTTTAATTCAGATATGATGAAAACGAATACAACGATTATTTGAAGGGTGACTCTTGTTAGTAAATACTTTTTTTGTCCATGTACTTTTTTTGCACAAAAAAATCGTTTGTGTATTACCTTTATGATTTTTGCACCACAAATCACTTTAGACGGGGGTCTCCTACCTGTATAGGGGATTTGACGGGCCCCACCCCTTCTGTTACTATTCAAAGATTTCGTACGTTTAGTTTGATAATTTCTGGAAGTTCATAATCACTCAAATTAGCTTTGGACAAGTACGAAAAACTTATCGACATCCTCGTGGTAAGCTTCTGAATGCGGGATGCTCTTGGTTTTTATGACCAAATTCAACAAAAAAAAAGACATGATTACTCGTTCGATCGGATATTTATTAGTTATCACATTTAAGCTTTCATAATACATTTTTTGATGAGTTTGGTAGGCGAAATCGATTTGTGTAATTCATATTGAATGAGTAAATAATGTTTTGATGCATATTATTCATGCGATGACGTTTTCTTACACGATAATACTTTTTGAGTGATCGATTGTATTGAAAGGAAGTCACGCATGAAAAATTATGTACTTTTTTCTATATGATTTTAGAAAACATATACATAAAGGTGAACAACAGGTATAAATACAATGCGAAAAGCTCATTTGAAATAGAGTTTAGTTTGCTTTCATTTTCTATCGTATATCATTCATAAACAGTAAACCAATGTTCGGTGGACATCATCATCATCATCATCACGGTAGGAAGCGACATTTTTAAATCTTGTTATTAGTTTTTGGTATATTTTGAGGAGGCATGGGTGGCGGACCAGGAATGGGTGGTTTTGGAGGACATGGAATGGGAATGGGTGGTTTTGGAGGACCTGGAATGGGAATGGGTGGCTTCGGAGGACCCGGAATGGGAATGGGTGGCTTCGGAGGTCCCGGAATGGGAATGGGTGGTTTTGGAGGACCAGGCATGGGTGGATACGGTGGCTCCTACGGTTATGGTGGTGGAATGGGCGGCGGACCATTCTTTTAAATAGCCTTTGTATTTGTACTTTGACAAGTTGTACTCACAATAGAACATGCCATAATAAAACTATTTTGTAGCAAATATTTTGAAGTTTTCAGCAGTACATGTAGTAGAGTATTTCAAGATGAGTCAATTTCCACCAGTTACTAATTATTTGTCGTCGTGAAATGAAAATATCTCTATGACAATGGCAACTCTGTCCAATGTAAAAGGTGTGTCATTCATTCAAAATATTAGATAATGTTGAATACATTTTATTTCATATTAATTTATTAATTTATTTGACAAAGTTTGACTTGTAGAAACAATTTCTTTAATAAACAATAAGAATAGATATATTCTATATACACCAACAACGTGATGATGAATTAATTAATATTATCAGTTGACTTTTGAAAACCAATTTCCAACGATTTCTGACTTCCTGCATTAGCAAACGATAAAAACCAATTGGTGATGAGATCTGACTTGTTCCATTTGGCGTGAAATTCAATTGAAATATGAACCGTAAAAACTCCCCTAAACAAATTCAAACAATCGTCAATTTTCTCTTTCTTCTTCTCGTTTTCATTACCATCCAATCCTTGTTAATCGAAAAGGTGGTTGATCCAGAATGATCTGCGATGGAGAAAATGTTGGATGTAAATGAATCTTCACCTGTTTAACATATTCACTAATTTCATTCGGATCTTGATCATCATTATCAAATTTAATAAATAAAGTCCATTCATGTTGTTTATGGTGATAATCACAGGACAATAATTGATGCGTATTACCGATGACTAATCGTTTTTTGATGATATTTTTTCTTTCATTATCTAATTCGTTTCGTCGAATTTCATATTCATCAGCGTACATTTCACGAAAGAGATTATGAAGAATTGCATTGGGTTTCAATTGATTGGAACACGAACGAAGATAAGTTAAATCTATTCGACAAATGGGACATCTTAATAGCGAATCGGATGCGATTATAAGACGTTCAAGACATAACAAACAAAATGTATGTCCACATAACGTCGAAACTGGTTCATAGAGAAGCTTTAAACACAATGGACAATCTCGATAAGTTTCTAAAAGATTTTTATTCATCTAAAATAAATTCAAATTTCCGACAGAAAAATAAAACAACGAATAACACCGGAGAAAAGTAAAACATTCAGAGATTAATTACGAATAGGAAGTTTTACAACATGAATACACCGAGATGATTTCATATCATGATCAGTTTCATTCAGATTTAGATGATGATGATGTTCATATGGCCAAAATGGACGAGAGACATACTAAAAAACCAAATAATGAAAAGAAAAAGAAGGAAATAAAGAGATTTACCGGTCGCTTTTGATGAACTTTTTTCGACGATTGACCAACACAGAAGGAGAAATGGTTGGTTGCATTTCCCATAGTCTATAATCTCGTCGTCATTATCTTACCAGTTCGAGAGACTTTTTATCTGAAAGAAATTAAAGTAAAAACTGTGACACAATCGGAATGATTTCAAATAAACTTTGAGACAAATGATGATCATCATCGACTTCAACTAGATGAATCGATTCTTTATTTTTTTGTTCTTTAATAAATTGTTGACTCGCAGCAATTGGAATCAATTCATCCGATTTACCATGTACGATCGATGTTGGACATAGAATTTGTGGATATGCTGGATGGTTTTGTGTGAGATCAACCAAAAATGAATAATGTAATTGTCGACCATCGTACGAATGTGAACCGGATGATTTCCATTTTTCTAATTCATCATCGGACAGAAATTCACGCCAGCGTGCTGCTAAGCCGAATGCAGGACAAAGAAGAAACAATTTTTTTACGCGATCAGGATAAAGTTCAGCGTAACGTGCAGCGATGTAACCACCCATACTTGCACCGATCAAATTCATTTGAATTTGTTCATGATGTTCTTTTTGTTTTTCGTCGAATAATTTATTAATGACATGTATAGCGTTTGAAACGGAGAATTCGTTAAACGACGGTTGATTCAAGTTTGGTTGTTCGACCGGAACATGAAATAACGAAGCGATGTATTTTGCTATTTGTCCACCACCACCTACATCGCTATCTTTAGTAAATCCATGAAGAAAAACAAAGATTTCCGACGATAAACGTCTATTACTATTCGTAGCCATAGTCTGTGTCTGCGGAAAAAAAAAGAAAGATCTTTCAACTTTCAAAATACAATCTCGGTGACATGTGATTCGTCGTTCCAACCTATACTATTCCATCTCGATTGTCAGTCTGTACAAACGCGACATCTATGTCACATTTGGTTCAGTAGAGTAACGCACTACTTGAAAGTTTCAGCGAAAATACATGTGCTGTCTTTTCAATCGATGCTATTAAACGTCCATTGATTCTGTGCACATATTCTTTCACACTTTTTAAGTACACAACTCGTTTGTCAGTATTTAAAGAAAAAAAATGTAATTATATAGGTATTATTTTTTGTGACTACAAGCTAGAAATCATGAAGGTGAAGACAGAATAAAAAAAAGTCGGATGACGGTTACATATCAATAGACGATATTCATATATAAGTACGAATATTTGTCGAGGAAAGTAAAAGAAATGGCAGCACTGACTGTCAGTGAATTATATTTAGCCTGCCGCAATGGCGATAAAGCAACAGTCGAACGTTTATTATCCCGAACTCCTTTGAGAACTCTCAATTGTCTGGAACCAAATGGAAGTACATGTCTTCATGCTGCTTCATATCATGGACACAAAGAAATTGTTGAAATACTTTTACGACACGGTGCTTCCCGACGAATGATTAATCGATACGGTTGTACGCCGTTGGATGAAGCGAAAACAGAAGAGATCGCCCGACTTTTTCCAAGATCGACTGAAGCAGCAAAACAACGGTTTTGTAATAATCCGGCTCAGCAATTAGAATGGCAATTTGAGAACGATTCAGCAGAATCCTATTCACGCGCGACTCATTGGGATTGTGTCAAAGATCGTGGAATCAAGAAAACGATAAAAAAACTTCGAAAAGCTCAGGCTATATTTGATGATGGAAGCGGATCAAGTGCACTTGTGGCCGATTTTTTTCAAGCAGCTTTAGATACCAATGATCCAATTTATTTACTTCGAGCGTATACAGCTGAAAGTCCGTTTTATATCGAATTAAATCGAGAAATGGCACGTGGAAATCAAAAGGAAGTTTTTCGAAAATTATGTAAAAAATGGACGGGATTTTATACAGGTTTAATCGTGAAAAATCCCGCTTTCGAACCCTATCGATTTAGCGGAGAAACGTACCGAGGAATGCAAATCACACCGGTAGATTTACAACAATATAAAATCGGTATTGCTCTTGCAAATAAATCATTTCAATCTACATCAAAATCTTGGAAAGTCGCCAAAGGTTTTGCCTGTCCGTCGCAACCGAAACCTGGAACAATTCCAGTGATTCTTTTTTTTACAATTAAAGATCGACGATCAGCATTGAATATCGATCAAATATCTGAATATCAAGGTGAAGAAGAAGTTCTTATCATTCCAGGAACTTTATTCATTATCAGTGATATTGATAAAGAAAGTCGACCATATGAGATTCATTTAGAACAACTTCAATGGGCGGATGAATTTTAAGAAGAAAATTCGATTCATGTAATTTGATGCTGGGTACATATACAAAAACGAAAAAAATATTTTTATCAATTTTGTTAATATATGTACGACGCTTTGCTTTAGCGTAGTTTCTTGTTTCTCGTTTTAAAGAATGATAATCATTTTGAATGAATTTTATTTGAATAAAAATTAAAAGATCTCTGTTCGTTTAACTTGTCCATTGGTTCATCCAATGAAGAACTTCGTGATACCAGACAATTGAATTGAATGGATTCACTGTCCAATGATTTTCATTGGGTAAATATAATAATCGACTGGGAATTCCACGTCGTTGTAAAGCTGTAAATGTACTGATACCTTGAGCATCTGGAACACGATAATCATGACCACCGTGAATAACTAACATTGGTTGAGTCCAATTGGCCACGTAATTGACAGGATTGAATTTTTCATAAGCTTCAGGATTTTGAAATTGTGTAACATTACCAGCATCGTGTTCAGCGAACCATAATTCTTCGGTTGAATAAGCCATTGCTCGCATATCGAATAATCCATCGTGATTAACAAGTGCTCGGAAACGTTGACTCATTTCCGGATGACCAGCGATCCAATTGATCATATAACCACCATAACTTGCACCCAATGCAATCGAACGATTACCATCGATATAACTGAATTGTTTCAAAGCAGCAGTTAAACCTAATTGTAAGTCTTCGAATGGTAATGTTCCGTATTCACCTGTAATGCTGTCGGTAAAGTTTTGTCCGTAAGAATCGGAACCATGAAAGTTAATAGCAATGACCGCATATCCTTGAGATGAAAATGCTTGATAGTTCCATCGGTAACTCCAAGCGTTGTACCAACTGTTTTGGGGACCACCGTGAATAAGAAATGCAAGTGGAGCTTTTTGGTTGGTACCATTGGCTGGAGGAATATGCCAACCCCAGACGGTTTCATTCTTTGCACCGAAAAATGAAAATTTTTCAGCAACTTTACTCATGCGAACCTTTGATAATAACTTTTCGTTATGAGTTGTCAATGATCGAATAGAAATTGGTGAAGAAAATAGATAAATATTCGACGGTTCAGTAATGCTATCATAGGTGTAAACAAACATGTCGAGATTTAATGGATGAATACTGATATCTCTAGATGAACCAGTAGAAAGAAGGCGAAGAGGAGTTGTTGATGTTGATGTCAAGGCTGATAATTTATAAATAACATTTTCAGCTTCTTCACCTACTTCGATAAAAAGTGATTGACCATCCTTTGCCCACACGAGACCGTTAACACTACGATCCCAATCATTCAAAATGGTCATTCGAGGATTCGAACCATTAATCAATTTGATCTTAAATTGATCTGATTCATAACCAGGAACAGATTGTGCACGATAAACTAAGACATGTTCTTCAACCGGAGAATATCTTGGGTCTGTATCAGCAGCAATATTATCACATGTTACACAGACACTGATATAATTCATTGCAGTTAAATCAACAGTATAAATATCTAAATTCGTTGACCATGCTACTGTACTTGTCTCGTCATGTTGTCTTGTATAGGCGAAGGAGTTTCCACTTGCACTGAATGACCATTGAGCTTTGGCATCACCAAATGGTCGTGTTGGTGAATCACTGTCAATACCAAATAGAACATCTTGAGGTTTGGAGGAAAATTCGAAGATGTTTTTCGAGTTTCGTTGGAGAGAAACAATGAATGGATGATGACGACGACCAAGCATGAATTGATCCCAATGACGAATGAATAATTTGTCAAATTTGTAGACGTTTTCACCAGTTTTACTTTCATTTTTCATTCGATAATTTGTTTCTTCAATCGTCAGATTTGAATAAACTTGACAACTAAATGCTAAACGTGTTCCTTGTCGGTTGACGAGCAAATTATCAATATCTAATGGATAGTCAGTGATTTGAATTGGTTCAAGATAATCTCGTAAATTCAATAGACTTTCAGGAAGATTCAATTGAAATATTTGTGTTAATCCAGATATTGCTCGATTGGAAAGAAAGACGATAGTTTTCGCATCAATCCAAAAGAGTTGTTGATCTTCAATACCCCAAATCGGTTGAGTCAATTGTTTTGTTTGATTTGTTTGCAAATCCATCCAATGTAATGTCGTAGTTGATCCATTCAAATCAGGCATATGATATTGTTTTCGTAAATAGATCACACTTTGTCCATCACTTGGATGTAAACATGGTGAAGAAAGACGATCCAAACGGAGATTATGAGTTTGATTGAAATAATCCATTGTGACCAATTTCTCATAATAATCACTGTTCGATTGATAATCACTGGAATTCCATGCCGAAGGTGTTGGTGGGTTGGGAGGATTTGAATGTGATCGATGAGTAAAATATACATACACAGGAATACTTCCAATAGCCACACCCAATAAAAAGATTACGGATAATATAGCAAACTAAACAATGAAAAGATATTTCAAACAAAAGCAGTGGTAGTAATAAAGGAAGTAATACCTTTTTAAGTTTTGATTTAGTCTCCGGATCTGCTGTACCATCTCGAATGAGATAATCGGTATCGGTAGCTGACATGATAGATGCAAAATCAACGATTTGATTCTATCTTAAAATATAAATAAGTATAAATGGTTTCGTTTTCTGCCTATTTAAACCAGACGATCATGAAGTATAAACAAATAACAGTGCATGTGATCGAATGACGTAGAAATAGAAGAATGAATCATATATTTCTAGTTTATATACCGATACATAGAAGGAAGAAAGAACAGAAACAAAACATCCAGGGATTGAATGAAACAACTATGTGAAACAATTGTTAGGAGAAAATATTTCTGTGTTTGCAATTCTTGGTGTTATATTCTGATTCTCATTAAAAACAACAGTCAACGATGAAATTCAATAGAATCAATAGAAAACTAACGTACATATTCGTCATATGAGTAGAAGATTTTTCTTTATCAAAAATAAGAGAAATATATAGATCCGTCGTTATTTTCAAAGAAGAAAGAGAAAAACAGGAAAGAAGATGTCTCTAATATACAATTGATAAAAGTTCAACAACTGCTGAAGTCTTTAGGCTACATGACGTTCTCGTTTACTTCAACGTTATTTAATAGGAAAGGAAATTAGTCCGTCTTGATGGTGACAATATAAAACCTTCTTACCTACATCCGTCCTGAACGGTTGAGTTGATTGATAATCAGAAAATACTCTCTGGAAAACAAGAAAAGTCTCAATATATATCATCGTGTAATAAAAAGAATTCTGTTTTTCATAATATTGTTCATCAATACTTGAACCATAGTAGATGATTACATGCCATTTTCTGGAAATGCATGTCTTTTGATATTTAGAAGATTCATGTTGAGTAAATTTATTTATTTATTGATTCAGATGGGATACTTTGGGCATTTCTGCCATGAAACTTTCGCGCACGATATTCTTCATTAAGATAAACAATGAAGGTAAAGCATATGGAATGACATGATCTCGATGATGAGAATCTGATACTGTCGAACTAGAATAGATTATATTGATAAGATTATCTCCTGAATAAAAAAATATGAACAGAGAGAGAGAGAGAAAGTGATCAATTTATGTCTGTAGAAATCTTCCTCCTTCACTGTCATGAAATGATTGTTTAATATCAAAATATTCCATCAATTAACTGATTTGCCTGATAGGTCTTTTTCTCTACCAAATCACTTCTCTTGATTAAAAATATTTTCTCTATATAAGCAATCAGTTCCTTCTCAATTTTTCATAATCATGAATCATAATGGAAGGGTAAATTTTTCTCGAAAATATTTTCATTATATCATTTCTTTGTTTCCAATAGATAACTATTCCAAGTGAACTCATTGGTTCAATTCCTCGACCTGACTACTTATTATCCGCAGTTCGTGATCATGATTGTGGAAGAATGACAAATCAACGTTTCCATGATTATGAGAATCGATCAGTTCAGATTACAATCAGTGAATTGGAAGCAACTGGATCGCAAGTTATCACTGATGGCGAACAAACAAAATCATCTTTTATAATTTATGCAATTCAACAACTCATTAACGAATATTATACATTCTCTTCGGGTTGTTTCTCTTTGACATTTGCTGATGGTCGACAACATATTCTTCCGCGTTTAGTCAAATCCCCATTTCGTCATGCTACCTATGCTCATACATATCTTGATAATGCAAAGAGATTTACTCATTTACCGATAAAGTAACACTCGATCTTGATATTCATTTCTATTTGAAAATTCTGCTTTCTATAGACAAGCGGTGATTAGTCCGTCAGCTCTATCAATGGTTTATCCCACAGCAACGATTAAAAATTATTCTCATGAACAGTTTCTCACCGATCTGATCAATGAAACGGAAAAAGAAATTCGTTTATGTTTGGAAAAAGGTGCGCATTGTGTTCAAATCGATTTTGTCGAGGCAAATTTTGCATTAAAACTCGATCCAACGGGACATCTCCTACGCGATTTTGTTCAACTGAACAATTGCGTTTTAGAACGATTCGCTTTCGAAGAACAACATCGTCTGGGTGTTCATCTTTGTTCAGGTAAGTCGTATAACTACCAAATCTTATTCAATAATTCTTTAATTCATAAAGGTGGTGATCAAGAATGTCATCATTCATTCGATGCACATTATTTACAAGTTCTTCCGAAAATATTCGATCTTCATGTGTGCAATTTCTACCTTCAATTAGCAAGTGAACCTGATCGAGAACAAGTGTTGCAATGCGTTCAGAAATATATGCAACCATGGCATCGAATTTTCATTGGAGTTATCGATCCTGTTGATCCAAAAATTGAAACACCTGAAGAAGTTTGTGAACGAATATTAGAGGCAACGAAATATATTCCAATCGAACAATTAGGAACAACTGATGACTGTGGATTTGCTCCATTTGATGATGATCGATTGATCACAAGAGAAGCTGCATTTGAGAAGATTCGAGCACGTTTAGAAGGAACAAAAATGGCAGAGGAACGATTAATGAAGAAAAAATCAAAGAGTATTTAAATTTGATTTTCTCGTCGAAATGAATATTTCATATTTTGTACTGTATTGTACTTAGAATAAATTATTGTCGTGAATAGTCTTCATTCAGAATAGATTGATAGAATATTCTGCAGTTGATGTACTGAGAAAGTTTATATTTATCGGTAATTACATTAATTTATAATGCTTCAGGATATTTCTATGTCATTCAAATGCACTTTTTCATACGAAATGACCGATTCTTAACATATCGAGGCGAGTGTACCGTTATTTGAATACAGTCCTTGAATATGTTTTCTGGGCTTTCTATTTGCTTATGACCGAAAAGTATATAAATCGCGAACTCAACATTTGTTTTCATATTCCAAGCATCATGTTTCAACTCTTCAGTTGTTTTCTGGCTTTTCTTCTTTTCAACAACATTCTCAGTTGGAGTCCATCAAATTTCACTTACAATGCTGGTCAAGATTACAGTCTCGTCTGGGAAGATGATTTCGAAAATGTCGGTGCCATCAAAGCAACAATCAATGGCGCACCGGCCTATGCACCAAATTCAGCAAATTGGGTTCTCAATACCGGAAATATCAACGGTGGTTTACAAAATTATACGAATTCTATTGATAATGCTTACGTTCAGAATGGTCAATTGAATATTGTTGCATACAAAGAAGGATATACATCAGCAATGCTTTCCAGTGTTGGTCTTCGAGAATTCACCTTCGGAAAATTTGCAGCAAAAATCTGTTTACCATATGGACAAGGTATATGGCCAGCATGGTGGTTACTTGGAAACGCTTGGAATAAATACAAACTCTATTGGCCGACTGTTGGAGAAATTGATATTTTGGAAATGATCGGTGGACGTCAATGGGGAACTCCAAACGACAAAATCGCACATGCAACAATTCATTGGAACAATGCATCGAATGCGATGTCACCATTGTATCATGCTTCATACGGAACACAATGGCAAACACCTGATGGATCTTTGCTGCATAATAATAGTCTAGTTTATTGGACAGAATGGACCCCAACACAAATTAGTATTGGATTGAATGAATTTACATATTTTCAATTTAATACGACGAATATCACTCAATCGATCAATCCAGTCGATGCTTTTGGTGGTAAATGGCCTTTTTACATGATATTGAATATTGCTATTGGAGGATCATGGCCAGGATCACCAAACAATAGTACAGTTTGGCCTCAACGAATGGTTGTCGATTGGATTCGGGTTTATCAAAAACCGTAGTTACTAGGACTTTTTTTGATTAACATCATCAAGCGCTTTTATTTACTCGTTATTATTTTATAAACTTATCGGACTTTTAAAGTAGTCAAGGTTTACACGAGTCAACAGAGAAAAGAAGAAGAAAAAAGAATTGTATGAATAATACTGTGGACTTTATTCATAAATGATGACATATATTCAGATTTTCTTTTTGTCTTCCTGTAACAACATGTAAAGTGGGTAAATATGTTAATAGAAGAAAGACATAATAAAGACAAACCTATTCGCACTTAAAAAGAAAAAATCCTCAACTAAACGATCTTTTTCTTTTCTTTTTTCGTTATATACTTCTTATTGTAAAGAAACAAAATGTCCGTGAACGAAGATCAACCTCATCATTATGATATTCAAGCTGGTCTGGCATTATTCAATAATCATGTTGTGCATCGAACAACTTTAGATGGTGAAGAAAAATCCAATGATCGACCAACAGAAAGAAAAGATTCAACCACAGCAGCACCAACACCACCATCGCCAAAAACGACTCAGACATCTAACGTTAAACTAGTCGGTTCAAATCGGTTCGTACTCTTACAGTAATGAAATTCTTATTCAGTTATTTTCTTCATTCGTAGTTTTTTCATACCAGTCAAAAAATAACTCAATTGTACCTTAAATATGTTTATGGAAAAAACAGCTGACTATTGATTTTACTAAACGAACTTCTTTTGTACTTTCTCGTTTTGAATGACGATCAAACAATTACAATCAAATAACAAACTCTTTACTAACATCTATTTCATACCATGTAACTGATGTGTTAAAGTCTAATTTTAATCTGACTTGTCTCAATCGAAAATTGACTGGTATAAATCGTTCTATAATCTGTTTGTAATATCAAGACGAAGAATAAAATCGAACTGATGGGACAAAACGAATAAGAAAGAATAAATTAGTTTCACATCTTATGATACATAAGCACATCAATTACAAACAGATAGAAGTATAACTCATCACATACATACAGTAAGAGAATCGTGGATTGAAATATTGTAGAAACACAAGCCTTTTTCTATGGTCAATTTAAAATACGATAATCTCTAATAATTTCAGATACGTCTCTGTTATTACGTACCGACTTTTTTCTCAACTCATATACCATTTATAACTGAATTTTGAGTTTCTTATTAGTCGATGACTGAAGTATAATTATAAGTAACTTAGCATTTATTTTGATACTCAAAGCACCATGTTCCAATTATTCAGTTGTTTTCTTGTTTATCTCCTATTGGCCAATATTCTCGACTGAAATCCATTATATTTTACTTATGATGTTGATCCAGATTAGTCTTGTCTGAGAAGATTCTTTCGATAAAGTAGATAATGGATACACATCTGGAAAATTTACAATTAAGAGTCAAGTGTCATATGGTAAAAGTCTCTGATCCACTTGATAGTTAGTTAAAAACACTTGGAATGGATATTGATATCAATGGTCAACTGTGGCGTGAAATCTGTATTTGATAAATGGTTGTTCAGACTTATTGGTATAGTCCAAATAATCAAATTCTACATGCAATGATTCATTGAAATAATACACCGAATCCCGTGTTACCGATGCATCAATATCAGAATGAATTTCGACACAAATTAATAGTGCAATTAATGAATTCATATATTTTTAATTTAATACAATAAGTATCCCTCAATCGATCAATCCTGTCTATGCGTGTTTAGTAGAAAATAGCCTTTTTCCATCAGATTAGATGTACCTGTTGGTGGTCTATGATCAGAACTATCAAACATTAACGCCATTTAACCTCCACAAATGATAGTGACTTGCGTTTGAGTTTGTTAAACATAAATAAAAAGATTCATTTCCTCACAATCGAATACAGAATGTATTGAATCCATCAAAGCGCGATCGTATTTAGATCTTTTAGAATTTATTTTTGAGTTCATTTCTATTTAAAATGGAATAAAACAGTTCATGTCTTAACAATTCTTGATCTTATAATCATGTCAGAAGAATCATTATTGTGTGAAAGTCTCTCTGTACGTAAGAGAGACTTGCCAAAAATTGCATTAATAATGAGGACATACTAATGCGATGAAATGACTTAATTTGTCAGCAAAACTACTCTCACTAAGCGTTCATTGAATAGCTCTGCTCCCCAAAGACAAGGACTAAAGAAGTTCTTCACTCTCTCATCATTGAATATATATCTAACGGATTCGCAAAATACCATCGAAATGATTGTTTAACATTCATCAACAAGAGTCAAGTGACATCTGTCAATGAGAAGCAAATCAAATTGTCTTTATTTTAAATAATCGAAAGCACGAAGGTATAAATAAAATAAAATAGATGAGTATTCGATTCACTATTCAGCATCATCTCGATTCCATGATTGTTCTTCACCATCAAATAGAATACAATATACAAAACAGCCAAAAAGACAAATGCCAGATGAGACATTGAAGATCATTTTCCATGCTGATAAAGTTTGCTACAAAGAACAGACATACGACAATTCGAAGATAATTCTATTAGAAACGTTTACGTTGTGATTAGTTATCCAGCCGACAAACATTGGTCCAACAAATCCAGGTACTGCTGCTAACATATTGGTGATACCCATCAATGTTCCCGCATAATTACTCGCGATGTCTAGATGTGAGATGAGACTACCCGATCCTTGAAATCCAATGAAGGCAACAGAAAGTGAGATGAACACCACTGCTAAAACATGGTCGCATCCGATATAGCCGACTAAAACAAGAAATAATGAAGTTCCGCAAGCACCTACAATAAGGAAAAAATGAGATTTTTTGTTTAAGAAGAAAAGAATTTGTTACCAATGATGGTTTGCCATCGTCGTGTAGCTGTTGTGGAGAGAATTCCTTTCGCTCGTATTCGATCAGCTATCTGACCGGAGATAATTGTAAAAACAAGTTGAAATAAATAAGGTATTGCAAACATAATTCCATTCTGAAAGAAAAGAAAATTTTCTTAATGAATCAAAAAAAAACAACGAACTTGTTGTAGATTAAATCGAAGAATGGTCGAGAAATATGTTGGTAACGATGTTAATAGAATATAGAAAACAAAATTTGTACAGATATGTTGAATCGCAATGCCGTACAAAGGAACACAAGTGAGAATATGTTTCCAAGGTGTGGTCGACTAAAAATAAAAACTTGGTTTTCGCACATATTTTCTATTTTGAAATACTTTTTTTGCTCTTGGAATACAACGAAGAAGATAAATTTTCTCTGAACTTGATATTCGTGGATGTTCAGCTGGAGAATTATACGCATAGAATATCCAACCAATAAACCAGAGACAAGAAAGAAGACCGAAGAGATAAAAAGCTGATGGCCAACCGCCAAAAACTGTTGATTCACATAGAAGACTCACTAATGGTGTTGTCACAATAATTCCAATCTCTTTGCCTTTATTTCAATAGAAAAATCATCCGTTAGTTAAACAATTTTCATTGGATGTTACCTGTACTGGCAATTGGTGGAATTATACTTCGTTCTAATGGTGGAATCCATCGACCCCAAAGAGCAGTTGCGCTTGGAAATGCAGGTGCCTAAAAGAAACAATGAGTTGATTCGATAGAATTTTTCTTTAGAGAAATTGACTTCAATAGCGCCAATCAGCAGTCGAATAGCGATCAGAAGACCAACGTTTATTCTTGCAGCCATTGGTGTCAAAAGAGTGAGAATACCAGCAATAAAAATGCTACCACCAAAAATCCACTTAGCACCAAACCGTTCAGCTAACATTCCTATGAACAAAAAATAACGTAACTGATTATTCTGTCCAACAAGATCAAGATTTTCTTTTACCTCCGATAATTTGTGTGAGAACATAACCGTAGAAAAACGAGCCTAAGACCATTCCTTGTAATTTTGGAGACCAATCAAATTCACCCTTTGATTGGAATCAAATTTAGTCAAGTGATTCAAAGAAAATGTTTATGGTCTTTACATGAAATTCTGGATTGTACGACGAATTGTTATCACTATTGATAGGAGGACAAGCATCAGATGATTCGTTATTTACTAAATGAGATTTTGTCATTGCGACTAAATTGAAACATATAAAAAAAGTGATCTTTTCAAAAACAGAAAATCTTGAATTGATTTACCGATTGCTACAGAGAGATTCACTCGTAATGAATACAAACAAAGAAAACCAAGAAAAGCCCATATTGCCACTACCTAAATAACAAAAAGCATCATTGTTCTCCTGAAAACAATCAGTTGATCACAAACATATCGTGCAGGTGTACTATCTAAAGAAAATTCTCATATAAAAAACGAATAAATTTTTGAAATTTCTCACGTGAATGATATGAAGATGATTCTACTCGATAAGAATTTTCGTTATTCTCTTCATTGGCAAGTAAAGGTGCTTGCATTCCATCGTCATGATTATTATCTATGAAAACACTTTCGGATGATTCCATCTTCCTTCCGGATCGCATTGAATATACAAAAGAAGGTTTTGCGACTTTGAATATCTCAAGAACGAACAGTTGAGTTTGACAAAACTTGGATGGTTGTTGTCACTTACGATCAAAATGAGTTTTATTTGTGGAAAAAATCAGGTTTTCAAAAACGTTTTTACGTTTTATAATTTTTTTATTTATTTTTTATTATGACTGGTAGAGGCAAAAAGCAATGAAGAAAAAGAATCAAGATGGCGAGACCAACAGGATCGCTAGAAATACAATTGAAAGGAAAGGAAGAAAAAGGAAAAGAATTGTTGTTTTTACTGTTCGTAAAAGGAGACGAGAACGATGTGTTCCGCTTCTTTTTAATCATTGTGTTACCTCCCAGTCAAGAGAATCTTGAATCTATTTTGTCGTTAACACTTAATAATATTTTCAGAAAACGAGAATTTCTTAGTCAATCATGGAAATGAATCCAATCATGAGTTCAACAATGTCAAATAGTTCATCAATTTCAATGACAACAACAACCGAATCTTTACCAACGACAGCTGTCGTTTATAATAATCATTTGTTTTTACAAACAGCTGCTTGTCAAGCGATCGCCGGTGCATTTACGTGGGCAGCAATTCTTATAACCGGTTATCATGTAAGAAACTCTTATTATTTCTCGCGAGAAATCTTCATTGGATAATTGTTTAGATTTATCTTCATTTATGTCATTATACAGTTCCTCAAGAACAGAAATGGATTGTTCGTTTATTATTTATCGTTCCTATTTACGCATTTGTTTCCTGGTTGAGTTTAGTCATGTTTAGAAATGATTATTATTACGTTTATTTTCATGCGATTCGAGACTGTTATGAAGGTATAAAATTTCGTTGGTTTTTTATAAAGATTTGCATATGTAATGAGAGAGTTTTGTTGTTTAGCATTTGTTATCTACAGTTTTCTTTCGCTTTGCTATGAATATCTCGGCGGTGAAGGAGCAATTATGGCTGAGATACGTGGAAGACACATTGAGTAAGTCAACTCGTAATTTTTATTAGAGAAAACCGAAATGAAAATGATTTATCTGTAGACGAAGTTGGTGGACTTGTACATGTTTTTTATCAAGTCAAGAATATACTATTGGCTTCTTAAGATTTTGCAAACAAGTAATGAATTCTCTGCATCATTTTTAACTTATTTTCTCAATTTCTTCCAGGCAACACTTCAATTTTGTTTGGTAAAACCCTTAATGTCGATCGTGACATTGATTTTACAAACATTTGATAAATATAAAGATGGAGATTTTTCTGCCACGGGTGGTTATCTTTACATAACATTGATTTACAATATATCAGTTTCAGTGGCACTTTATGGTTTATTTCTTTTTTATGAAGCAACAAAACATATTCTGGCAAAATATGATCCAGTTCTGAAATTTCTCACGGTTAAATCGGTGATTTTCTTAACATTTTGGCAAGGTTTGTTTGAATTCTACTGAAAAATTTCGTTTGACAAATTTCATCTTTAGGTGTTCTTTTGGCTTTATTTGAACAAATGGGAATCATTCAAGCGTTTCAAGGAAAGACAAATCTAAGTGTTGGTACCGTTGCAGCAGGTAAAGTGAAGACTTCTCATTTGATAAAAAATCAATTGATAAAATTCGAATTAGGTTGGCAAAACTTCTTTATTTGTATTGAAATGTGTTTGGCTGCTGTGGCACTTCGATTTGCTTTTCCACACCAAACGTATATGTCACGAGAGAATTACTTTTCCAACACATCGACAAATTCCGATGGAAATTCGACAAATTTTGGCGGAAGAGTAGTGACAATGCAAAGTATTTCACATAATTTAAAAGAAACAATGAATCCGAAAGACATCATGCATGGTAATTTCAATTAAAATTATCTTATCTTCCATGAAATCTCATCTATTTCAGATGCAATTCATAATTTCCATCCTCAATATCGAGATTATACTCAATACAGTGCACAAGTAACATTCTATCGATAATTTCTTCTTTAATTATCATAAAATCTTTGTAGAAAAATGACGAACAATCACCTGCATCAACATATGGTTTAAATCAACACTCAACAAGTGCCTTATCATCGTCAAATACTCCAACTCCTGGTGATATATCATATCACGATGGTGGAACTCCTTCAACTCCAACTGGAATTCCCATTCAAGCGCCACCTTCAAACAATTCATCAAATCAAAATACGATTCTTCAGAATATATCAGAAAAAATTCTTCCAAAATCTTTAACAAAGAAAGATGGTGAAAAAGATATGTTATTGATCAATGATGACATCTAATCGAATGATAATATCTTATTTATGAATCTAGTCAACAGAAGAGAAAAGGAAAACAGAAGGTTTTTTTTTTGTTCCATATTTTATTTTTTGATGTTGTTATTGTTGTTGTTTAATCAAAGAAAACTTTCGTACTCGATATGACTTAATCAAAACATTATTTAAGATCTTGTCTCTATGTCATTGATAATCAGATTCATTTTAAAACAGTATTTGTTGTGACATTTTACCTTTTGTTTTTCGTTTTGTTGTTGTGTACAGATTAACAAAGTCAAAAAAAAACACATCAAATCTCGTATTTATTGTTAGTATAAACAGAAGCGTATTTATTTGAATAGATATTGTAATTTGTTTTAAAATTTCAGATGAACAAATATCTTTTTCTGCATATATTTCTAATCTCAATCAATTCTCAAGTGATTCGGAGTGATTTATGTACAAATCAGATAGCAATGAGTCAACCGGTGATGGATTTTTGTTTATCTCATCACGGTTTCTTTCACTTTCGATGTTGTTATTCGTCGAATTCAACTGATCTTATCGCAATCGATTTAACACATTTAGATTTAACTCAAATTCCAAATGTAAATCAATATTCTAATCTAACAAATGTGACTGTCATCGATCTTCGAGACAATTTTCGTTTAAAACCATCAAACAATGAAGATTTTCTCAGTATGAAATCTCTCAATACACTTTATTTACCTGAATCATATCCATGTCCTGGCGACAAATATATTTGGCAGATTATTAATCATACAAGTGATCCTGCGGGATTTCTTTGTGAGAATCCCAAAGATATTTGCAATATTTCAACAGATCTGTGTTCGGAATTGAATTCTATGTGTAATTCCAATGGTCCTAATCATTTTTTATGTTTATGTAAACCAAATTATTATGGTTATAAGTGTTTGAGACATGGACAGTTTCCTTTTGGAACATTTTTCGGTACTGCGATCTCAATCACTGTTATTGTCAGTGGTATTTTCTATTTAGTACAACGACGCGATGTCAAAAATGATTAATTTTCGTGATAAATGAACAAATTGGTCTTTCATTCGATAATCTATTCAATCATTCATTTATTTTGTCTCATATAATATCGATCTGAGAAAATAAAAAAATCTATAAGGTTACACAGAAAAAATCATATATTATTGTTATAAATAGAAGCTGAAATGATCTGCGTAATAAATAAAACATCGTATGATGTACACAGTATTTTCTCTTTTTCTTTCTTCTCTCTCCAACGTGTGTAGGGCCGACTTATCGTATGCCTAATGTTCCAGACGAAACATTACTTGTATAAGTTTGAATAATCCAAGGAGGCCATGTCGGGTATTCCGTCTGTAATGAAAGCTGCTCAACAAACCGGTTACGGTAATGTTAGAGATATTTTAATACTTCGCGATGATGTTCCTGTTCCACGTGAATTATCATCGACACAAGTTCTCGTTCGTGTTCATGCAGCTTCGATTAATCCAATCGATTGGAAGTTTTTGGATGGAACTTTCTCGCTTGTAACACGATTGTCTTTTCCACATATTCCAGGAAAAGATGTCGCGGGCGTTGTGGTTGATGTTGGTTCTAATGTGAAACGCTTCCGAGTCGGAGACAAGGTTTATGGTAATTTCGGTATGGGCGATGGGAGTTTTGCTGAATATGCACGTGCTGATGAATCTTTACTCGCAATCAGACCTCAGAATTTATCGATGGAGGAAGCAGCAGCTGTACCATTAACATGTGAAACTAGTTATGAAGCGTTATTTACAAAACTTTCACCTCCGGTTGGAGCGGGAAGTAAAATTTTAATTTGCGGAGGAAGCACAGCAGCTGGTTTGTATGCAATTCAATTAGCTAAAGCAGTTGGTGCTCAAGTTTCGACAACATGTTCGAAAAGAAATTTTGGTTTATTAGAAAAACTCGGTGCGAGAAGTTTTGCTTTCTCAAAACATATTTTTGATGCTTTATTTCAGGTTATCCAACATCGGAAACAAATTCTGATGCTAATCAATTGCATTTAATCGATTATAATGAAAAAGATTTCGGTAAAGAGTTAAAAGGTCAAGACTACGATGTTGTTTATGACTGTGTCGGTGGACCTGAACAATGGATATCAGCACAGGAAATTTTAAAACGCAATGGACAATTTATAACAATCGTTGGTGATCATATGAAATCAAGCATCACATTCAAGGCTGCCGTTTCAACTGTATCGAGTTTAATTAATCGAAAATTCTGGTCTGTCTTTGGTTCGGCACATCATGGTTATATTTTTCATTCTCTCAGTCAAAGATACGAAAATCTCGATGAATTACGAACGAAATATTTCGAAAATGGCAAGGTGAAACCTATTATCGATACGGTTTTTGATTGGAGAAAGGACGGAGTTGAATCACTTTATGCACTTTATGAAAAATCCCAAAGTGGAAAAGCACAAGGCAAATTAATTTTAAAGATTGCTGACGAAGAATAACTAAAAACCGCTTTTTTTTAAACCTTTTTTAATCAAAACTACAAACTCATTATACTTATTCTTTGTTTTTTTCGACAGTGCAATCGATACGAAGAGAAAGAATTCATCTGGCTCTGATTGTTTATTTGGAAAACTCATTGATCTAAAAATAAATGCGCCGATGAAAACATGACAGTTATTCTTTTTTTCCTCTTTTTTTATGTTGAAGACAAGGAAGAAGAGTAAAGCCAAGCTTTTCTATTGGCTTACATTGATGTTATTTGACTCGATGCGCAGACACGACCTTAGATTATTAAGACAAATTGAAATAATAGTCGCATTCTTTTTACACAAGTCTATTGACCTTATTCAAAAAAAAACTGTCAGAAAGGTTTTCTTTTATATCAACAGCAATTATCATTTCTTTTGTATTGACACAAAATTATTTCCAGGAAGATAATCAAAGTTTGTTCAAATGTTTTATCTTCTCACTAGATAATCAAAAGCACACAGCAATCTTATTAGCATATCAATTAGATGTGTCTTTGACTATAGTTTGGCAAGGCAAAAAGTCTTTGTATAGCGACGATCTTTTGATAATTTGATTGAAGAAAAAAGAAACATTTTATAGACAGTTATTGATTGAGTTAATGCACAAAAAGAAGTCATTCTATTTCGTTGCTTCACTATTTCGTACGTCGAAATGGGATAAAATACTTTAATCAAAAGACGAGAAGGAAGAAAGAATAGCGTGTCCTTAATCTTCAATAAAATAACAAGCTCAACGCTCGTTTTGCGTCTTTTTCCTTTCTCGTATTAAATTGTATGAAGAAAAAGAGAAAAGAATCGAAAGAGAGAGAGATGAAGAAGAAAAGAAAACGTGATATGGAAGCATGTGGAATACCAAAACATACATTAATAGGAAAGCTTCTCATCGTGTCACACACACACACTCATAGAATCGATAAGAAAAAACGAGAAGAAGTTTCTTTTTTATTTCAAAGTAATTTAATAAGAAGAAACTCTCGTCTATTTTTAGAAGAAAAACTATGTTACATGCTGGTATAGAGGCACTTTTTGGACGAAATCGTGATCATCATCGTAAACGACATTTGTTTCGTCTTCGTCGACATCATCATAGTCACAAAGATGAAGCTGATGAATTGGCAAATCTCTTTTCCAGTAAACCGCACACGGACAAAGACATTCTTTATGGAGACAATTTTGCCTTCGCAGCAATGCAAGGCTGGCGAGCCTCCATGGAAGATAGGCATAAACATTTGCTTAATTTCGATAATCGATCGTGGAAACTATGGTCGTATTTCGCTATCTTCGACGGACACAATGGTAAGTTGAATTTCAATAGGTCTTTCAGTAAAAACGTGCTTTTTACAGGTGTCGATACAGCAAAAAAGGCGGCTGATCATCTCGATATTCATTTATTAGAAGCAATGAATGAAATGCTTTCCCATCAGGATGATTCGACGGTGACAAATGGTGAACCAGTTCGTTCATCTCAGCTTGATCTAAGCAAACTACGTGCAGCGATTAAACAAACATATTTCGAACTCGATAAAAACTTAAAAAACATGATCAAAGATGACAGTGGATGTGTTTGCGTACGTTGTTTGTCATTCGATTGTTACCAAGTCTAAAAATAGTTTGTTTTTCTAGATCACTTGTTTAATTGGACCAGAACAAATCTATCTGATCAATATTGGTGACTCACGTGCGATTATTTTTTCGAATGAAGGACATATTTTAGCGCATACCGAAGGTTAGGATACATCTCGATTGAAATCAGTTATTTTCAGTGAATTTATATTTAGATCATAAGCCTGATGATCCAGCTGAACAAGAACGTATTCATGAGGCCGGAGGGAAGATATCAAAGCCTTGTCCGGGGGATGTTTTACGAGTAGAAAATCAATTAGCAATGACTCGAGTGTTAGGAGATTTTACAATGGATAAACATATTGTTCCACCAATGGCAGATATTGTCGAATATCCAAGAAATTCCTCCGCAGCTTTTGTTGTACTTGCGTGTGATGGTATTTGGGATGTGATGACAAATACGGATGTTGCATCATTTGTTATTGAACGTGTTACGACAAATAAACTTGAAGATATCGCTGCTCAATTATTAGATGAATGTCTGCGCCGTCAGAGTACAGATAATATGAGTGTTTATATTGTAAAGCTTTAATTCGATCCTATTTTTTTTTGTTTGTATTTAATGCTAAAAACCATGTCCTTATTTATGAATATACATAAAACACTTGGTCATATACTCTTGCAAAAAAATGCTTTTTTATTGAAAAACTACATGGTAATGTTCGATGATGATAAAAAAACGACATGTGTCTCATAGTTCTTTATTTATCGTAGAGATTTTGATGATGTTATCTCATTCTTTGCGAAACGATGCGTTCGCAATCCGACACACGTCGCAGTACTTCAGCTTTATTATATGATGAAAATGCTGAAACAATCGATGCAATATTAGATCAAAAACCATTATTAGGTTATACAGATCTGATCGAACTTGATAAACATGAACCGTGGTACCGTCGAATCTACACCAGATATGGTTTGTTGATGATTTGTCGTTTTTATTTTCATTTGTTAAGTTTTCAGTGATCGCTGGATGGGCGTTTTTCGGTTTTCTTTGTTTGTATATGCTTCGTGTGAATCTATCGGTTGCAATTGTGGCAATGACAGTGCCACAAGGTCCGAAAAATGACTCAGTCGAAGCATGTCCGTCGGAAATGAATGAATCAAGCAGTCATCCAGCAAAGGTCTTCCTTTCTATTTGTTTCTTTTTAACAATTAAGTTTAGAGAATGTGTCTTATAGCATGGAGATTTCCATTGGGATTCTGTAACTCAAGGTTATGTCTTAGGTTCATTTTTTTATGGTTATATTCTGTCACAATTCATTGGAGGTAAGCAATTGAAGGAATAAGAAGAGATTAAGATAATCGAGATTTGATTTATAGGAATATTAGCTGAACGATTTGGTGCGAAATGGGTCTTTGGTGGTGGTTTATTAGGTGCAGGAATACTTACATTACTTGCGCCAACTGCAGCGAAGATTCATGTTGGTTTGCTTATTGCAATTCGCATTTTTATTGGTATACTTGAAGTAATAGAACATCAGTTACCCATTGACATTTTTCTTAATCGAAATTTCTTTGTTTTGAGGGTCCCGCATTTCCGAGTGCGGGTGCATTGTGGGGTCAATGGATTCCTCCTTTAGAAAGAAGTATCATTCCACCAATAGCACATTCTGGTAAAATTAATATTAAAAGAAAAAGAAAAGAAAGAGAGTAGTTGTTCTTTCAGGAAAAGAAGTTGGTGTCATTGTCACAACACCAATTGCCGGTCTTCTTTGTTCATCTGACTTTCTTGGTGGTTGGCCAGCAGCTTTTTATGTTTTCGGTAAGGATTGATCTATTTTTCTTCAAAAGAAAACTAAAAAGAATCATTTAAAAGGTATCATTACATGTGTGTGGTTTGTATTCTGGTGTTTCTTCGGTTACAACTCTCCTTCACAACATCCGCGATGTTCGGAAAAGGAACGAACTTATATAATCGCCTATCTTCCAAAACCGAAAAAGGTAATTTGTTTTACTCATACGTTGGTTTCAATCAAATTTTTCATAGTTGAAAACTCCCTGGAAGCATATTTGGAAATCTTTACCATTTTGGTCAATTGCTGTTGCTTCGACATGTGTTCAATTTGTCTATTATGTTCTATTAACATCCCTACCCATATATTTCGCAAGAATATTAAAATTTGATTTGCAAAAAGTAACTTTCCTCAAATAGTTTTCTTTGAAAACATTTTCTCTTCGATTTAGAATGGTGTGATGTTTGCAATTCCTTATTTCTTCATGATGATCGTCATTATCGTCAGTGGACAAATCGCTGATCGCTTACGAGCACGAAAAACTTTATCAACGACAACTGTACGAAAGTTACAAACAATCATTGGTAAAATTCCTCATACTTTGTCATTTTCACAACTAATTTTCTTCGGGAAGACTAGGTGGAGTTGGTTCATCGGCATTTCTAGTCGCGATTGGTTATGTTGGATGTAGCAAAGTCGGAGCAATGATTTGTATCACATCAGCTGTTGCCTTTATTGGTTTCCATTCGAGCGGTTGTCATATTTCACATTTGGATATCGCCAGTAACTACGCAGGTGAGATTTCGAGAGAATTTCGACGAAATTTGACTGAAAATTTCGTATTAGGAACACTTGTTGGCATTACGAACACATTAGCATCGATTCCTGGCTTTGTAGGTCCTTATGTGGTTGGAGCAATAACGTATGAGAATGTAAGGAGATTGAGAAATGTTTATTTCGTTGACATTGAACTTTTGTTTAGCAAACGGTTCATGCGTGGAAGATTATTTTTGATTTATCAGCTGGTATTGGTCTATTTGGAAGTTTATTTTATTGTATTTTCTTTGATGGGAATGAACAAGAATGGAATCGATATGGTGTTGAAGAACTAATTGAAGATGAATAAGTCGCGTTTTTATTTGTTTTCTCGTTAAATTGTTATCAAAAATAAAAATGATTTCGCTGATTAATTACAAAAAAAAATGTCGCTTTTGTTTTATTTATAAATGCAGTAAAAAGACAAACTCGTATTAAATACTCAAAGAGATTAAGTATGAAAATGCTTTTTTGTTTAATTAAAACTGTAGTTTTCCGGTGCGTTGTACGTGTAATTCCAGGATAATTCGATTCCTTCTAATGATGCCGATTTGATTCGTTTTTTCAAGCGATTTTGCCGTAGAATCTTCGATAATGGCGGTAAACGATTGTTTTCATTCGGACGAGTGACATTTTTCAACGCATCTTTTAACAATGTATTGTCCGTATTCATCAAATTCTAAAAAAAACAAGACTTCAAACAGATTCAAAGTTCAATTTGTATTACAAACCTTTGCTTTCGCTGTTGTTTCTAAAATAAAACAGAAGAGAATGGAAGAGATGCGAAAGAAAAGTGTTCTTACGTGGTCTTTGCGCAGATTGTTTGCATTCATAGCGATGGAAAGTGTTCCATCCATTTTCGAGACAAGTTTTCGAACAAAATGAAACCTTTTGACATCGCCGACAGATATTTAATCGAACACCGATGCTTCGACCACATGTCCCACAATAACGAAATTCTTGAGAGTTGAAACGAGTAGAACTCGATCCATCTAGACGAAAATCAAAGCTTTTCCCATAGATAAATCTTCAGATTTACCGATCGTCGAGGGAGATAAACGCAAAAATCCGTCGTGTTTTGTAACTTCTTCACGAAATCGTTTAGCAATGTAAGTGAGTAGCTCCTTTCGTTGATTGAATATCGTTCGTTCTTGATTTGTCAAGGAATGATACGGAGATTGAGCAATTCGAGTATCCTGTGAAAGAAAATTCAGCTAATTTTGAAGAAAAAGAAATTTTTGTATCTTCTTACAGCAAAAAACATGTAATAAGCATAATCTACACATGAACCAAGCAGATTCTTTGGTCCGAATCGCACAGGATAAAGAACTTGAGGATTTTTAGCGATCAAACGTTCGATCTAAATAAAACGAAAACAATTAATAGGAAAAAGTTTTTTACTCTTTATACTAATTGAATTCTCTTTGAATAATTCCACGAAGTTTCATAGAATGTCGACAAAGCCATACATAAAGCATTTCCATTGCCAAAACCAAGTACAACTGATGGATCAGTTTGATCATATTGAAGAAGTAAATCAACTAACGGTTCATTTCCGAATACAATGGCAAGAGTCAATGGAGTTTGACCATTACAAATCGCATTCGGATTCGCTTGATGTCCGAGTAGAAGTCGAACAAGATTCAATGTATCTTCGGATCGGGGACGAGTACATGCAATATGCAACGGCGTTCGACCATTCTGTGGAACTTCAATCTGAAAGAGAAGTTCTTCATTTATCAAATTGAATTCTTGAAGAATTTACTGTTTTAATCAAATCGAGAACCAATGGATCGATCAGTGAATAATATTCTTTATTATTCGCCAATGATTCTGCATTGACATCCGCACCGTACTCTAATAACAATCGAGCAATATCAACAACAGTCGGTGCTAAACAACCGCATGCGATATGTAATGGCATAAGACTTGAATGCCGAACAGAATCTAATCGACAATTGACATTTGCTCGTTTTTTTAATAGTAATTCCACCATTTGTTTATCTCCTGCACGAACAGCTAAGACAAGAACAGGTAAAGGCCAATCGCTATATGATGGATCAGCACCACGACGAAGAAGAAGACTAAATATTTCGAAATATAAAAGAGGAAATTGATGCGAATTTCTTACGCAATGATTGAATAAACCCGCTCACGATATTGTTCATCACGAATTCGTTGACGAAGTTCATCAGTTAATTCAAATCCATATGAATCTACAGAATTCATAAAGAAACTCTTGACTCGATCGTCAGTTTTACTTACGATTTACACTCAATGTTTCAAATACTTCTGGTAATTTTACTTCATCGATAATTTCATTCGGTGTTTCTTGTTTTAAGATCGTTAAACCGTTCTTATCTTTAGAGAGCAAAACCCGAGGATTCGGAATCGATGGATCTTTATGTTCTAACGCAAGGTTCACCGTTTGCAAATAATCATTTCCATAATAAAGCAAAAAGGCGATCATAAGTGGAGTAAAATGTTCATCAGATAATTGATTAACATTTGCTCCGAAATCCAAAAGTGTATTGATGATATTTATATGAAGTTGATATGTGGCAAAATGCAAAGCTGTTAAACCGTGAGAATCACAAACATCGACATAAACGAGACGTTGCATTAGAAGATGACGAACGTCTTTTTCGTAACCGTAATAAGATAATTCGAAAAGATTCAATGAGGCGTTTTCTAATGGACCGGGATTTGGAAATGAAGAACGAATATCTAAAAATGAAATGGAAATACAACGATTTTTGAAGAAAGAGTTACTCACTGGAGAGAATATCGTCGATTGGAAACGATGCACGTTGTTTTAATGGCCAAAATTTGTTTAGATAATCGTATAATTTCCGCTGTTCGTAAGTTTGATTTGGTGAAGTAATATCTGTAATTTGATCGTTTAATTTCGAAAGATTTTCATCAATACTCGAGAGATAAGCTTCTAATTCATTTCGTTTACCACGTAGGGCTTCGTTAACACCCTCCGTATGTTCACTGATAAAACGAGTTAGAGACGATTTTTCATTGGAAATCTGTTGGAATAAACGTAAAGGAGATTTTTTATGTAGAAGAAAATGAAAATCTGTAAGATTGAGAAAGAATTCTTCTGGTGAATACCATGCCGATGATTGTGTTGCTGACAAAGTCGAAATTTTCTTTTCGGTTATATGAATATCGATCGATAATTTCGGATGAGGATATAGTAAACGAATAAGATCTTCACTTAACCATAAACCCACATCTGCACTTTGAAGTTTTTGATAAAGTAAAATTCCCGGGCCGAATCTTTCATCTTGACAATACAAACCCTGAACAAAACATTCACAGATCGACATTTAATGTGCATTGACAAATTCAGACCTTGAATTCAGAGATATCCGGTGTATGAAATATCCCAAAACCATGTCGCCGATCTGCAAAGAAAGCACCTGTATATTTTCGTCCATCGGACCACGATAACATTCCTTTTCCATGTTTTTTCTCATCATAAATATCACCGACATATGTCTAAAGGTACGAATTATTTTAAAAAATCACTGTCGCTTGAACTTACACATTCTTCATTGCTTGTTTCTTGAACGGGGAAAGTTTCATCGGGGCCAACACCAATCGAAACAGTCGAAATTTCATTTAGAAGAGGATTCATGGTTTCAATGACTGAAGAAAATATCTTTAAAAAAACCTTGAGAAGGCATATCGAAGTTTTACCTGATGAAATTTCATCATTTGTGGATTCCTTCATTTGCTCTCGAGATCTACTTGTGAATGAAATTAGATCGGTCATTCTTTTCTTTCTGAAATCACAATTTAAATATGAAAATTAACTACCCGGAACAAATTTTCATTAATTTTCAATGAATGACTCATAAACAAACGCTCAACTTATCGATGCCATTTACATCTTTGGATACCTAGGCAATGTTATGCATGGTTACCAGTATTTCAATTACAATCATCAATAGATGCCGCATATTTATTGAATTTGTATTTCACCGAAGTCATACGCAAAACTTTCTTCTTTCTTTGAACATGTGTTTAGACGTACAATTGATGAGAATGATCTCCGAGAATAGAATCCACTTCGGGATATGAAAAAAGGTTTTCATTCGAAACTCTCGGAGTGCAAAAAGCCATGTATAAGAGTGCACTCATTCATTGTCGCTTATGTGCATCGTCACTACTAACAATGATGGACATAATGAGGAGAAAAACAAAACTTTCTTTCTTTCATTGGTAATTGACATATATCGTCTCCTGATTTTGTTTAGTTTTAATCTTATCGTATACATTTAAAAAATATTGGTTACCACGATTGACTCAATATCTCGAGAATTTGAAGATCGATGCTTTCTGTTGAACAATCTTTGACGTATTCGGATCTTATGAACAAAGTCGGTAAGAATAAAAACTTCACGTTTTCATCAATTTGGTCTTTTTTTCCTCTTTTTTCAATGTGTGGCGCACTGTATTGACATTTGGTTTTTTCTTATTGCAAAATACACGAGCAGATGAAAAGGAGAATTGACTATAGTATTCTTTTGTCATAAAAGTATGTTTATTAAATTTGTGATCAGTGACATCTCTTTTGTCAGATATATTCTATCGACAAAATTCAGTAAAGAAACGGTTACATAGATTCGTGTGGATAACAAAGGAATAGTCTTTGTACAAGAGCCACCGACTTCGTCTTTTCTAACATTTATACCATGTGCATTAACAATAACAAGGTATAATAACATTTTTCTCAACTGTTCCCTCAAAACTTAGTTCATATTGCCACATACATAGAAATGAATAATACTCCATTAAAAGGGAAAGAAGTAAAATCCAATTCTAATACTATATGATCATGATTGTAATCCACGGCAATCATCATATTGTTTTCCAGAGAAACGCACGTTATCTTCGAATTATGCCTAAGCTCTGTTTAAAAATTCCTTGTGCGATAGCACTCAACCAATTCTTCTTTTTTAGAGCAATCCAAACTATGATCCGGGACAGAGTCCTCACGAAATGGCAGCAACGATTACACATTTAAATAACCAGATCAGCAATCTTACTAGTGAAATCGCTACCCTCATGGAAATTATTTCAAAATTGGAGAAAACAATTGAGAGTTTGAATCAAAAAATAATGGTCTTAGAAGTTCAATTGCAACTCGAAAAAGAACGTCGATTAAAAGACTCGGACAGTTCAAATTCACCTCCAGCTGTTAAAGATTAGTGATATAAGTTCATTTAATTCATTAGACTTCATGATTTTATCTTTGCTATTTATCGATTGTTGTGTTTTGTCTTTGAAAAACAATTATAGTACTGTGATTTAATTTTTCAAATATGTCTAAAATATTAGTAATTTTCACGTTTTTGTATGTATATAGTTCGTGTTTTTTGTCATTGACGTATTTACATATCAACTAAAATGTGTGCATACAAAAGGTTTGAATAAACTAGAATTGAAAAATATCGAACAAAAGTCACCCATGTTCAAGTGCGTACTGTAACAGCATGATTAGTTTGATTGGTCTCGAATTCGTTTATGTCAACAATGCATTCACTTTTATATCTCCTCGATGTTTGGGTGAACACAATAAATAATCGCATCGATCGGAAACGTGTCTCTTCCTTGTTACAGGTACATCGGAACAATAGAACTGGGTACATTTATTGAAAACAGTTATTATTGAAGTTTTTTGCATACCTCGTTTTTTGAAATCTTAACTAGACATAAGAAAGTAACCAATCAACTCAAAAACACTGTGTTATCAGTGGCGATTATTTAGTGATAAGAAAGTGAGGTACGCGTTTCAATAAAAGTAAAGCGTAGAACGGAGAAAATTAGTCTTGTCTGATTGTTGTATTAGGAAAATACAATTATGGTGAAATATAAATTAGATAATAATTCATTTAGTCCACGGGTTTTGTTAATTCTATTCTGCATGTCATTTGTTGTGACTTTTGCTACAACAGCGCCTGTAAGTGATGATTTGAGTATTGTGCGTGAAAATGTTCGTAAAATAATGCTTTGGCCTTCTCCAGAACAATTGTCTGATGTTCTTGCACAAGCAAAAGCAAATCTTAGCACCTTAGATTTTGATACTTGTCAGTGGCCTGATCTAAATTATACAACACGTGGTCCAGAAAACTGGGATCCAGTTTTACATATGTTTCGTATTGCGACGATGACAGCAGCATATACTGTTCCGGGTGGATTCTCAAATGACACGAAATTATCCTTAGGCATTCATTGTGCTCTAAAAGTATGGATTGAGCAAGATTGGCAAAATCCTAATTGGTGGTGGAATTATATTCAAGATCCATTAATAGCTACTGGTATTATGATGATGTTAGGTATAGAACGAATGACGACATATGAAATTGAGGCCATCGTGAAGATGTCCTATCGTGCCAATTGGTGGATTATAGATTGGGATGGTGGTGCCAATTTAGTATGGGAATTACAAATACAGTTATATCGTGGTTTAGCGACATCAAATTATTCGGCGGTGTCACAAGCTTTCGAACTGATGTGGAATACAGTACAAATACAAAATCTTACAACAATGGGTATACAAACAGATTGGTCATATCATTTTCATGGTTCTCAATTACTTCCAGCAGCATATGGTGATGCATGGGCAACAAATATTCTCCATTTTCATATGGCCACACGTGGCACACAATATGCTCTATCGAAAGATCGTTTGGAAGTTTTCGGTCGATTTTTAACACGAGGTGATGCTTGGTTTACGATGGGTAGTGTATGGATATGGTCTCTTATTGGACGTATTATCGATCGCGGTGTACACGTTTGGTATTCACATTTGTTTCCATCTGATCAATTACGTGAACTAGCAATGGATATGACAGATAATACGACTGCAGTTGCATTATGTGAATATGCTGGTCGTCTTGAGCATAACCATCGAACTGTACCTTTAGTTGGTAATCGTCATTTCTATACAAGCGATTTCCAAGTACATCGACGAGTCAATTGGACAGTAGCATTAAAAATGCATTCTGCTCGTGTAATAGCTACAGAATGTTTTAATAATGAAAATTTAAAAGGTGAACATATTGGCGATGGAACATTGAATCTCTATACGCGTGATGCTCAATATGGTGGTGGTGAAGAATATGAAAATATATTCGCTCTACTGGATTGGCAAGCCATTAATGGTATTACCGTTGAAGCTGATACACCGTTAGTTCATTGTGATCGAGGTAAATTACCGATGCTTAATACAACATTCGTTGGTGGTGTTAGTGATGATATGTATGGAGCAGCATTAATGGATACTGCAACACGTAATTTAACGGCGAAACGTTCATGGCATTTCTATGATACATACATTGTTGCATTAGCAAATAGTATTCAAGATAATACAACTGCTTTATTACAAACAGNCGTTGAAGCTGATACACCGTTAGTTCATTGTGATCGAGGTAAATTACCGATGCTTAATACAACATTCGTTGGTGGTGTTAGTGATGATATGTATGGAGCAGCATTAATGGATACTGCAACACGTAATTTAACGGCGAAACGTTCATGGCATTTCTATGATACATACATTGTTGCATTAGCAAATAGTATTCAAGATAATACAACTGCTTTATTACAAACAGCTCTGGTGAGTCGATTATTACCTGCAGCTGATACTTTACCAGGAATACTAACAGTGCAATGGAGTAATGGTACGAGAATGATATTACCTGATGGTATTTATACATTTTCATACGATCAACCACGTATTTTATGGTTTCACGCTGATGGTACAGCTTGGACTATTTTAGAAGAATACCAAACATTAATGATTGATTGTCGTAATAAAACTGGTAATGTTGATCAAATAGGTCCATGGGACTTTCAAATGACTGGTCGTATCTTGACTGTTGTCATTATTCATGGACGAGGTCCCACAATTGAACCTTTTTCTTATAAATATATGATTACACCCAATATTACTGTAGAGGAAATGACTCAATACTGGAAACATTACTTAGTTCTAGGAAATAATGCACAAGCATTGACTTTCACGCAAAGTCAAGGCGAACCATTGTATCTTCATGGCACTTGTGATTCACTTCTTCAACGTGCTTCAGTTTTATTATTCGACAAAAACTTTCTCAATGGCAGCACCACATATTATAATTGTAGTAGCATGTCACTTAGCATTTATTTGGAACAGCCAGGTGCTATTTTATTTAGTGAGAACACCGATAGTTTTACAATTACAGCAGCACATCCAACTATGGCAACAGGTACATTTGTTGTCAATGTAAATCGAGCAAGTAGTGCGACTAGCCAATGTACAAATAGTTGGAATTTCGAAAACGGTACACGAGTTTTGATTTCATTACCTGGAGATCCACAATTACTTGGAAAAAGTGTATCGGTTACATGTACAAAAAGATAAACAAGATCATCTTTCAGTGTGATGTTGATTGAATAAAATAAAAG